TGCAGAGCGCTTGCTTAAGGGGCCACAGTGCTGCGTATTAGGTAACCTCCTTGAGTTCAGGCTTGAGAGACGAGTCAAAACAGTAATGTGCAAATGAGCGCGTGTGAGTGTTCACTGTGCCAGTCATCACTTCAGGGTTAGGGAGAGGGAGTGGCCATGGACAGGGTGGCTGAAGGGGTCTTCATAGTCAACACAGGTAGGTAGAATTGGGCAGAATGAGATTGTGTGCTTTTGAATTTGAGGATTGTGTTCTTGGGTTTTATTTTACACCCAAGCTTTGCAGTATTGATGGTAAATAAATGCCTGCCACTGAAAACCTTAGCCTGCTACTAAAAAGCTGAATGACTATAGAATGTTTAGTTTTTTTCCTCTGTAAAATGAGGGACTTGCAAAATGAGTACCTTGTTCCTTTGATCGCTTAATGGCTATGTGTAGTGTGTCGGGAGAGTGGCACCCCCTAGTGGAATATTTGTGTTACATATTGTCATGGCCTGCCTTTATCAAGTTATGGGAATAATACCCTATTTCCAGCCTTAGAAGAAAAAAATAGAATACTGGTCTGTCTTTGAGAAACATATAAGCGGTGTTCTTTCAGAATCTTAGAGCATTAAGTCAGACATTTAGATGAGCAGAGCAGCAGTTAGGGGTGGTGATAGGTTTTCATTTTCTTTTGAACAAGTGTAATTTTACTTATTTGCAGCACTGGGGAGCAAACCCAAGATTTCATGCGTAATAGTCAAGCATTCCCCCAGTCAAGCTGCATGCCAGCCTTGAGGTTTCTTTTTAGATTTGTACTGACTAGCGTATAAAGTCCTGGGCAAGTGAAAAGAGGGTCTTCTGGAAAATGCACATGGAATTCTTTTAAAGTTTTGCTTCCCTCCCCCCCCCCCATGCCTCTCCAAAAAAACCATGAGGATAGTAGCAGTGGGAAAACTGGAAAGTTCTCAAGCTTTACTAGTCTGAAAAACTTAACTGAACCCCTCTGGCATAGTATAATTTGGGGGGAGGGTGCTTTATCCATCTGTTTGTTTGTTTGTTTTTAGGTAGAGTCTCATGTAGCCTAGGCTCACCTCACGCTTACTGTATGGTAGGCCAGGCTGCCCTAGAGCCTCTGATCTTCTGGCTTTACCTCCAGCCAGCCTCTAGCCTTGGCTTCCTGAGTACTGGGGCTGCAGGTTGTACACCCTACTCTTAACTCACATCTGATCAGGAGTGCCCTAGTGGAGTCATCTGGTGTTCTTCTCCGACTGCTACCCTACAGAGTGAGTATGCATTCTGACAGGCTGGCTTTCGTCTCAGTTCCACCACTCTGTGAGACCTTGAGAAGTTACTTCATGTCTCTAGATTTAGTGCCTTTGCTAAAGACGTACAATAGTGCTTTCTGTGATTGAAAGACACTGTAAGGGGTAAAATAACCCATTCTGAACATGTGTTAAATGGGCTAGTCAGGTTGCTTTTTTCACCCCCCATTTAATGTAAGCCTTCCTCCCTCTTTCCTTCCTTCCCTCTGTCCTCCTCCCTCTCTTTCCCTCTACCACCTTCTTCCTCTCTCCTTCCCTGCCTTTTTCTGGTACTAAGGACTGAAGTTGGGGCCCAGTGCATGTTAGACCAGTGCTCTACCACTGAGCCCTCTTTTTACTTTGGTTTGAGATGGGATCTCACTAAGTTGCCTAAGAGGTCTTCCATGTAGCTGTCACTAAGCTGGCCTGCGTGGCCTGTCCCAACAAATGGTTCCTCCTGTGGTTTCTTGTAGGTTTTCTGAATTGTATTGTAATTTATTTGTTGGTTTGTTATTTTCAACCGACGCAGCAGGTTTTGTTTATATATTTGTTCATACACATATGTACTTATGTATATTTTCTGAATTTTAAATTAATATCAAGAGCAAAGTTTTAACAAAAATAAGCCTTTCTTTTAAAAAAAAAATTAATGAAATCTTTATCCCACTAATAGTAGACTGAAAATTTCTGAAAGAAGGATGGGGGTTTAGTTTAGATTTCACTGTGAAATAAAATCAAGTTAGAGAGTCATAATTGACTGATTAGTTATGGAGAGCCATAAAGACTGGTAGCGCAGTTCTCGAGAAGGGCCGCAGATCAGAATGGTGAGTAAGCAGTGTGGCGCGCCATGTGGCCATTTAGACTGAGATGAATCCACAGTGGGCGCATTTGGAAAAGAGCGAGCCATAGAACCCGGGAGAGTATAGACCATTAGTAAAAACAGCTTATTTTGTATTTTGCGGTATGCTTTCATAGACACAAAAGTGTAAACACCGTATATCTTCTAGCATGGACAAGAAAAGAATATACTAAGTTTATAACAATAGCTGCCTTTGCGGTGTGGAGAATTGGGGTCTGAAGAGCCGTCAAGGTAGACTTTGATTTTTCTTCTCTGTTTCTGATTAATTAAAAATTTTTAGCAGAGAGCATTTATGTATTGCTTATTCAGTTGAGAAAGGAATGCTGCAAAGATTGAGGACAGACTAAGGGCAGCTCTACTACATGGTCCACCCTTTATATGGATGCTTTTTTGAGTTTGAGCCTTTGGCTATTGTCATCTGGCTGGCAGAGCACAACCACAGTTTCACTTCCAGTTCCTTTTTGCAAGTTTCTATTTGGGGACCCTTAAATAATTGATGTCTAAGAAGTTTCATACTGTTGCCTTTCTCTGTCTCATTCAGGAAGCTTTGGATGGGGAAGCACAGAGCAGGGGGAAGATGTTAAACAGACTAAATTTGGTTTATCATATATTTCATTGGTACCCTTTCCCTGGGGGTTTTGGTTGGTTGGTTTTGGGTCTGTTGTTGTTTGAGACAGGGTCTCACCATGTAGCTCTGGCTGTCTTGGAACTCACTATGTAGACCAGTGTGGCCTTGAACTCACAGAAATCTGCCCACTGCTGCCTCCTGAGTGCTAAATAAAGACATGCCATGACACCCAGCTTTGGGGAATTTTGTGCACTTTATGGCAACTCAGGACCCTCAGCTAGAAAAGCTACAAAAGTGTAAACACTGTATTATCTTCTAACAGGGTCTGAAAAACCTCATGCTAAGTTGGTAAACATAGCTGCCTCTGAAAGGGGACATGGGGACTGAAAGGGAACTAAGGAGCTGTCAAGATAGACTTTGGATTTTTATTCTCTGTCTCTGACTAATTAAATTTTTTTAGCAGAGAACATTTAACTGCTGGTTAAATCTCACACAGCTACCAGATACTTGATGAAGCAGCTAGCATTTTCCAGTGTGAAGAGATCGGCATCCAGTGACGACTTAGGGGCCTGTCACTGTCAACCTAGCAGTACTTTTTGATGTACTTGATATGTAAAGCTGGTTTCTTTTAAAGTTTTGAATGATTATGTTTTTATGCTTGGTAATGTTTGTCTTGAGCTGGGCAGAGGTGGAGCACACCTTTAATCCCACAGAGGCAGGTGGATCTCTGTGAATTTGAGGCCAGCCTGGTCTACAGAGTGAGTCTAGGACAGCCAGGCCTACACAGAGAAACCCTGTTGGGGGAGGAGGGTTGTTGATCCATTTGAAAGTAAACCATGAGCATGAGTGGCTGTATTGTCGGTGACTTGAATACAGCTACAAATATCTGTATCTGTAGGCTGACCTCAAACTGTTGGTGCAACTAGGCAAGGATTACCTAGACCTCCTTCCTCCACTTCTGGATGTACAGATACAGGGATGTGCTACCATGCCTGGCCTTTTTTTAATGTAATGAAAAATAGAAAAAATAAGCTGATTTAAAACAAGCATTAAGCAATTAAACTTTTGCTCATGTGCTATGCACCTCTGCTTATTAGTCTTCCATCCTTCATTCCTTGGCATACAGGGAGTCTTTGGAGATTTGTTTTCGTAGTTGGCTGTATCACTTTAGGAAGGAAGGAGAAAAACCTTGGGGTGGTTTTTTTGAGCAAATGTAGGGTTTCTGTTGGCTCCAAAGTATAATAAAGCCCAGTGTTGTGTGACTTATATGTGCAAATAGGGTCCTCTTGTTTTTGTTGTTGTTGTTGTTTGGTTTTGGTTACTCTGTGATGCTGTAGGAATACATGCTTTCTTCTATGTACATTTGACCTAAGATGACTTGCCTAACAGTGAATGAAAAAACAACACAAAGTGCTTTATTACAGTCAGGAATCTGGAGAAAGAAAATCTCTGACTATCTTGCTTCACAACCTCCCATTTTACTGTACCTATAAAGAAGGGGGTTATTTTGTTTTGGTGTATAAGTGGTGTGCATGAGGGAGGCATTGGGCACCTACCTCTGTTGATCTCCGACTTTTTTTTTTCTTTTTTCTTTTCTTTTCTTTCTTTCTTTTTTTCTTTTTTTTTTTTTTTTTTTTGAGACAGTATCTGTCACTGAGCCTTAAGTTCAATGTTTCAGCTAGGCTGGCAGGCCTTTAAGCTCTACCCTCTGCATGTCTCTACCCCACAATGCAAAGTTGAAGTTTCAAGAGTAAATTACCATGCCCAGCTTTCAAAAACATGGGTGCTAGAGATGAGCTCTTGTACGCTGATTCTCATAGCAAGTGACCTACCCACTGAGCCATTTACGGCATCCCCAGCCTCATTTCTTGAAGAGTCTTTTTTGGATTGTAGCTGACCTTGTCCTGGTGATCTTTCAGCCTCCGCCTCCTCAGTGCTGGGTTTACATGTACCACTGCTACACCTATTGTAAAGAGATCTGATCAAATTAAGATGTAAGGTGGAGAAATACAGTGTGTAGAGAAATGCAGAAAGCCGGATTTTAAAATATCTTAGGATGATTGACAGAAGAAAAATTGAGTGTGGTAAACTTCTAAAACCTTTGACAGTTGCACATGTGTGTGTAAATGCATTTGGATCACACTCCTTCCTGTCTCTTGGCCCCCTTCCAACACTGGCTAGTTCCTGCCCTACAAACCCTCCCACTTAGATGTCTTGTTTTGATTTTATGCTTGGTGTTCTTTACTTGAGCAGCTTTTTCAGGGAGTGAGGTCCTAATTCTGATCTTTTCCAGATTGCAAAAGTTGAGAAACTCAAACCGTTGGAGGTGGAGTTACGGCGTCTTGAGGACCTTTCAGAATCAATCGTTAATGATTTTGCCTACATGAAGAAGCGGGAAGAGGAGATGCGAGACACCAATGGTGAGTTGGGAATGGCTTTCATTTCTCAGTGAGTGAACGAGCTATAAAGGAGACATCCTGAACACTGAATGCTAGAGTACATTTATCTCAGTTTGGGAAAACTGGAATATGACTTAGGGAAAGAAAATTGCTTCTTTAGGTCTATTATTATTGAAAGGTAAACCAGCTGACTAGTTTTCAGAAGAATGACATTTTTTTCCATGATATGTAATGACCGTATTTTTGGTTGGCTTGTAGCAAAGTCATACCAAAGTGTAATTTTTAATGTTTTACATGGGATTAAAAACAAAGCAAAACAAAACAGTGCTGGAGATAGAACTCAGGGCCTTGTGTATGCTAAAAAAAAGAAGTGTGTGCTGCTGAGGTACATCCCCAGCGACTGCTTTCTTAACAAGATCTTGTACATAGCCCAAACTGGCCTGGATCAAGATCCTCCTGTCTTAGCCTCAAGTGCTCTGATCACAGGTGTATTACCATAGCCATCTTTGCTTTCTTTCTTTCTTTAATTGTTTGCGCTCTTAGACCTAGGGACAGAATGAGGTTAATTAGTTGTCTTTTCCCCTGGCCGTTGTTTAGCCAACTGAATGAAGCCATTTACTTTTTCCATTTACAATGCTTTTGTTTTATTTCTTTAGAGTCCACAAACACCCGCGTCCTGTATTTCAGCATCTTTTCCATGTTCTGCCTCATTGGACTAGCCACCTGGCAGGTCTTCTACCTGCGTCGCTTCTTCAAGGCCAAGAAGCTGATAGAGTAATGAAGCTCAGTCGTCTGTCCCTGGTATCTGAGCCAGCAGAACATCGCTGGGACGTGCCTGGCCTAGCCCAAGCCATCCTATCAACAGTACCATCAAGGCACAGTGGAGCTTTCTTGCCAGAACTGATTTCTTTTGGTGTGGGAGAACATGGGCACCAGCTACAACCAACAAGTCAATGAGGACTTCTTTTTAATGTGGTAGGATTTGGACTGGTTTTGCAACAAGATTATTAAAGTCGCCTATGGACAAAACAAAACAAAAAGCAGGGGTTACCTAGATAATGCCAAAGCCAGCATTCGTCCTGGGTTTCCTCACGTGATAGCTTTGAGCTGTTTGCTTTTTTCTTGCACTTGCTCATCAGCTTGGTCTTTCACTTTTGTTCTTCTCCCAATATTTCTATGACCATGGTCAGCTTGTTTCATATCAGTTGTCCTCTTCGGTTTCCTTGTGAAACCATCTTGAGCTTCTCTTGGCCCTTAGATGAAATGTTTACATAGCTTCTGGTGATATCCTTCATAATTTTATGTCTCCTAAAAGGGTCATGAATGGGACACATAAAACAGTGAGCTTTGAACTGTAGCTAATCTCTTAAAAGAAGATCTCATTTTAGAAAATTAAAACATTTGTGCTTAACTGCTTGAACTCCTTGTGTGTGTGTGTGTTTAGTTCTGTCTGAGTTTATCACCCGTAGGGCCTGGTGATCATTCCAGGTAGAGTAGTTCCATCACATGGTCTTCATACTGCCTTGTCCTAGCCACTCCCTTCTTCACCTCAGCCTCTGGCTCCCTAATCTCACTATTTCTGTTATTTTTCTTATGTAAACGGCTCATCGAGTGTAACTTTGGAGGTCATACTCCGCTCAGCATAATTCCCAGGAAATCCCCCTCAGAGTTGTTGCATATGCTGGTAGCTGTTTCCTTTCTGTTGCTAGTGCTCCTCCAGGAGCATGGATGGTACCACATTGTGCATAAAGCTCATATGGGTGGGCTTGGACCTTAGCTAGTAAAGTTCTTATGTGAATGTAAGTTTTCATCACTCTGGGAGAAATGCCTAAGAGGGCAGTTGCTACGCCGTGTGGGAGCACATGTAGTTTTAAAGAAACTTCCCTGCTCTTGTCTAGAGTGGCCACAGTATGTTGCGGTTCCACATTCTCATTAGTATTTATCACTGTTGTTTTAACTCAGCCCCTGTAAAATCTCATTATGGTTTTAATTTGCATTTTTTTTCTAATGGCAAATAGTGTTGACCATCCTTTCATGTGCTTGTCATTTGCTTTCTGTATGTCCTTGTTAGTGAAATGCCTGTTCATGACTTTTGCCCATTTTCTACATACATCATTTGTTTGCTTCACTGTTGAGATTTGTATAGGTCCTCTGTCAGATAGGTAGTTGCTTGAATTTTTTCATATAACTTCTACCAGGGAAGAATGAGTAAATTTTACCAGCCCTTTATGCATGGCCAATCACTGATTTAATTCCTGTCCTTATGTGTTATCTCTAAAAATTGGACGTACGGGGTTTAAATAGACATCCAGGAAAGCCATAAAAAGTAAATACTTGAAAACATGTGTTGTAAAAGCAAAGCCAAGGATCACTTGGTTGGAGCATTGGGTACCTCAAGGCAATTCTAATGTATAAAAGAGGTGTGGGGCTGGGAGTACCTCAGTGCTAGAGCGCTTCCCTATTGAATGTTAGGCCTGGGCCTGATCTCCAGCGCCAGGGGGGAAGTAGGTACAAATGTTTGTAAATAGGAAAAATACTCATTTATCATCTGATGTCTGTCCCACTTCTCCTGGGAAATAGGTAATATATCCTTTCTGTAATCTTTTAACCCTGCTGACCAGTTACAGGCCTTGTCTTAATTGCAGTTCTGAGAATTACAGGACTTAGGCCCATGTTGCTTGCAGTAAAGAAATGGAATATTGAAATTATCAGAGAACACTGTTACGTTGGCCTGACTGAAGTACGAAGGTGAAAGGGAATGATTTATGTTGTTAAAGTCTCAGGCTGTTCTGTTAAGGTTCCAGTTACTGTAAACTCAAAAGCCTTCTTTGTCTTATGACTCCCATAAATTTCTTCTTACGTGGCATAAAGTGTTTTCTGGTACAACAGTGCCATCTGCTGTTGAGAAGTAACAGGTCTTGCTTCTCAGAGTTCTCACTATAGCAACAGCACATGTTGAGAAATCTGTAACATTCATGAATCAAGTGACAGAGGAACATTTCAAGCAGGAAAAGAACAGACAAACTTTTGGGTCAAAGTCCATCTGTAGACTTTTAAATGCAAAACCGCAGTCTTACCATTAGCCTAACCAGAGACTCCTATTTCTGACTTGTGCCTTCTTCCCCTCTTTAAGGAACAATGACAGCTACTCTGTTAGTTATGGTTTTCTGTTCTGAAAATGTCAAGGAAAGTAGGAGAAAATAGATTTTGTCCATATTTTTGTTTCCAAATACAACTCTAAACTTAAGCTTTGTAGAACAGAAATTCTTTCAAGTCCTTTCTTTCATTTTAAGTCATGCCAAAAGCAACTAACTTGGACATGGTATTTTCTATTTAAAAGTTAATTGAAGAGCATTTGCCTTTGACAGTAGGCTAGCACAAAGGCATATCAGCTTTATAAACACATAAACAGATGTGTTTCCCTCCATTTTCAACATATTCAAAATAATCTGAAAATAATAGTTTTCAATAAGCCTTGTTACAAACTACCACGTGTACCGTTGTCATGACCCCCATCAGAGCCATTCTTTTGTTAATGGAAAAGGCATGTGGGATTTCTACACGCTTACATGTTGGAAATTTTTGTGTAAACTGTCACAAATAAAGGCTAGCAGAAACCATTTAAGGTGTACTTTCCTATTACTCTTTAGTGCCTCTGTCTGGATCAGCAGTGATTCCTCTATTGCTACTTTTTAACATACAGTAAGTGAAACCTGGTGAATTAAAGAAAAAAAGGTTCTCCCTAATTTACTGTAGATGGATAAGGTTTATATGTGAACTAGTAACCCTTTACATACATGTGTTTATGTCACTAACCATTCCTTGACTGTCCTTAGAGGGAACAGGTGGGCTGTGGACTGCTCTGTAGCATCTTCTCTTGTAGTTACCACTGGAGTTGTTTCTCCAGAGTTTCTTCTTACTTCTGTTCTTGTAGTGTCCTTCTCAGTTTACAACTTTGGGGTATTTTGTTTATACATTTTTGGTCCATCTAGATTAAATGCACCCAAAACAACAGAGGGCAATTTCTTATCCCCTTCCACTTTTAACATTTCTCATGAGTATTCTTTTTTTAATTTTTATTCATTTATTCTTATGTGATGGGTGTTTGCCTAATCATATGCCTATGCACACTCAGGGAAGCTGCAAGCTAGAGGAGGGTGTCAGATCCCCTGGACTAGAGTTATAGACAGTTGTAAGCTGCCATGGGAATGAAATGTGGGTCTTCGGAAAAGCAGCAAGTAAGTACTCTTAATTGCTGAGCCATCTCCGTCTTCCCATGAATCTTCTTTCTAAAAGCCAGCATAAAGTGTTTTATAGATCACTAGCCGGCCACACACAATTTATTAGTAAATTCAGTCTACTATGAATCTATTTTAATACTATTTCCCAATATTTGGAGGGGTTTGTTTGTTGTTTTAAGACAGAATCTCTGTGTAGGCCAGACTGGTCTCAGATGCATAGCATTCCCCTTGCCTCAGTCTTCCAAGATTGGCCCATGCCTGGCGAAGTATATTTTAACATCAGATTGTCTTTTGTGGGAGTTGAGAAGGTATCTCAAGTCAGTAGAGAACATGACACAGAAACATTATGGGGCTCTTCTGGAAAACGGTGAAGTTGGTTGTCTTATATACACTTAGCCTATGATGGTAGACTCCCTTTTCTCAGCAGGGTTCTAAAAGTCTCCCCTGATCTGGGTGATTCCAGGTTTCCCTGCTAAGGAAACTTCTCTAGCAAGTATCTAGGAATTCCTAGAAATGCCCCACCCTGCTAAGGATCTTAGTCCAGCAGTGACCTTCAATTGTATTTAGTGATTTGCCCCGCCCTCCCATAGGATAATTAGGTGCTGTACTTTTCTTCTTGTGATAGGACCAAAGTATCTCTGACCACCTGACCCCAGCTAATCAAACAAATCTCTCCCTCTGCCCCGGGTTTATATTGCCCTTGATTTCACATGAATAAAGGTTCACACTTTCTTACTTCAAGACTATCTGAGACTCATCATTTATCCTCTGCCTGGTTTCATCTCACCAGGCCTGCCCTCCCTCCCATCCACTGGGCCTGGGCCTTACTGGGCCTGTGTCTTGGCTGCAAGCCAACAGGCATGGGCTTCTGCCCGCACCTCTGCTGTGCTCAACACAGCAACTTGACAAAGAGCTGCATGGCGATTCCTAATATTAATGTAAGGGGCTGGGTACATGCATGTAAGAGTGGCCTGTGCTTATAATCCCAGTACCAGGGAGGCGGAGACAGATAGATACTTAGGGCTCATTGGCCTGTCAGCCTAACCGTTGAGCATTAGGTCCTGGTGAGAGACCCTGTCGTCTCAAAAAACAAGGTATCGCTCCTGAGGAATGACATATAAGGCTGCCCTGTAGCGTCTATGTGCATGTACATACACACAGACACACACCAGTGTTTTCTCACTGATGGTTTGGAGAGCGTAGTGAGTTCAGCAAAACTTAGAGCTAGGGGCTGGAGAGATGGCTTAGTGGTAAAGAGCACTTGCTGTCCTTGCAAAGAGCCAGGTTTGGCTCCTAACCCCTACATAGTAATTCTAGTTCCAGGAGTGCCCACTTCTGACCTTTGTGGCCACTAGGTATGCACATAACTGCACACACACAAGGAGGCAAAACACTCATACACACGGAATAAAAATAAGTCTTAAAAAATTTAGAAATGAATTTGTTTCAATAAAATCATGCCATATCTGTTATATTTACATACTTTATAAACTGTTCTGTTTGGTGATGTCCTCTATATGAGTCACATAGATAATTTAAAATGTTACAGTGTCGTAATAAAAAAGTAAAAAGAAACAAGTAGAATTAAATACCAGCAGTGTATTTAATTAGTATTCTGTAAATATTGTCGTATATCTGCAGGGCTCAGTGCAGTGGGGCACGCCTGTAATCCCAGAACTCAGGGATGCAGAGGCAGGTGGATCTCTGAGTTCTAGGCCAGCCTCGTCTACAGAAGAAGTCCGCTACAGCCAAGGCTACACAGAGAAATTCTGTCTCAAAAAAAAGAAAAGAAACTCTCCCCAACTCCCCTCTCTCCCCTCTTCTCTATATATTTATTTATATCCATATGTCATCAATATAAAAACGATTCAAGTTTCCTTTGAAATCCAGTATGCAGCTACATATACAGTACCAGTGTTCAGTAGTTGCATGGACTTAGTGGCTATAATTGTAGACAGTGGAAGTGCAAACTTTAGTCTTTAGTGACTAATTTTCCAGTAATTTTACGGTCCTGGGGGTTTGCCATTCACCAATTAGAAATTGGCAACATAGCATGCTGTTCATTTGTTAAAATATGGAAATGGCCTGTTTTGATCACAGGTCTTTAAAATAAATGTTGAACATTTCAAGATTTATGAGTATTTACAGATAATTAGTTTTAGGCTGGGCGTATGATTGACACCTGCAGTCCTGCCTAGCACTTGGGAGGCTGAAGTAGGAAGCATGCTGTGAAGTTGAATAAATACCTGAATGACTGTGTAGCCTATGCTACATAGTTCAGGCCAGCTTGGGCTACAACATGAAAGCTTTGTCTCAAAACTTTAGTTTCAGTTCAGTCTAATTTAATGAATTCAGCATGAACTTTCTGTATACTCTAAGATGCAAAATGACGTTCTGTTAATTAGGCCTAAGATATGCAGGCATTATAAGTAAGGCCATTCACAGTTTTAAGCAGTCAAGTTAAAGAAAGCTAAACAGCTCTTCATTGCAAAGGGACCAGGAAAATGAATTGTTAGGCTTCAGCAAGACTTAATGTCTTGGAATCAAAGTCAACACTTCTGATTTTAAGTAATCTCATTTCCCTCCATTATTTCAGCTCAAACACCAACTTCCTATTCTGTGAAACAAAATTAGTTTACCTAAAATCTACTGTACCCAGATTTAAAAAAGAGGCAATATTTATTCTCAAAGTTCCTTCTAATCACTATTAACACTTTCCTTTGGATATTCCTCTGAGAACCCTTCACATACCCAACAAGTTCAGCTTGATTCCATCCCTCCTAAAGAATGCTTTTATGGAAGCGTGGTCTTAAAAAGCACTTACACAAAACTGTTACTGCCTGGTTATTTCCTGTTATATGGACCACTGTGAACCCCATGAATATTCATTCAACAACTTTTTTTTTTTTTTTTTTTTTGCACCTCTACTATTAGGTCAAGCATGTTTCTGGGTACTGATGATGATATATAGTAAGGAAAAACACAAGGACCAAGCTCTCATGGAACTTACATTATTTAAAAAAAAATAACTGTTCTTACTTTCTATACATTGGTGTTTTCCTGCATGTATGTCAGTGTGAGGGGGTCAGATCTTGAAGTTACACACAGCTGTGAGCTGCCATGTGGGGGCTGGGAATTGAACCCTGGTCCTCTGAAAGAGCAATCAGTCTTCTTAGCTGCTGGCCCATCTCCTTAGCCCCCAGCACTTACCGCTCTAACAAATGGAGGTAACAATAAAAGCAAGAAGCGGCAGAACGTGGTAGATGAGCATCCTTAAAGCAGCAATGGTAATAGACTGGGATGCCTGTGCTAGTTTGGACTGGATGTGAAGAGGGTAAAGTTAGCTCAGAGCGAGCATCATGGAAGCAAACTTATCATTACAGAGGTTGGTACATAAATAAAGACGGGATCCAGGTAGATCCAGACAGCAGCAACCCCTTGTGGTCTACTATCCACATGCAATCGGAACTGTTACCATGTTCAAATGGAGCATTGAAAGTTCCAGAGCTCCTGCATCTACCTTGCCATATTCCAATTGATCACCAAGTCATAAATATCCCTGAGATGGATGTCTGCAATCTGAACCTCTTCCCTCGGAGATACTGCCTCAGCACCTCTTAGAACAGAAATTGCCTCCGAACTGATGGCCTTTCCGCCAGTCTCTGTTCTCCACCCTGCTCTCCGAGTTCTTTGTAAAATAGAAATTAGGTCTTAGCCTCAGGTGATCAAACTTAGTAACTGCGCTGGACACTTATGCAAAAGAATGTGCTAAGGGAAGAAAGCATAAATGAATCACTTCCTCAGAAGATTGGAGCATTGAGAGCCAATAAGATGGCTCCATGGGTGAAGGCGCTTGCCATGCAAATCTGGCAACTTGAATCCGATCCCTAGAACCCATGTTTAGGTGGAAAGAAAAAAAAAACTCCACAAAGTTATCCTCTGACCAGCACGTGTGTGGCATCGAAGCACACAACCTCCCATCGTGTGTGTGTACACTGTATATTTTTTAAAAAGAAACAGTTGGGACATAGAACCCTAATCCTATAGTCCTTTAAGTCTCCAATAATTTCCTACTGTCCCTAAGAAACACCAAACTGTACAACATAGAAAATGTGCTTTCTGCTTCTACCCCACATGCACAGTGGGCTTCAACCCCATAACCTCTTAGCTTCATCCCATTCTGCCCGTTCCTAGTTCTGGAGTCAGATTGCTGGCTTTGACTTCCAAGCTCCTCCTAACTAGTTGTATCACGTTAAACACTCCCCACCCCAGTACACATAAACCGTGTTTCACGGTACTGTGAGGATTGACAGCCACAGTATCATAAATAAAGCCTTTAGCATAGTGCCCTCGCCTGTGGTGTAGGTAGTAGTCCTGCA